CGGTTAAAACAGGTGGTGCTCCACAGGGGACCAAGTTGGGGCCGTGGCTTTTTCTACTAATGATCGATGACATTGACATCGCTAACACTGATATGTGGAAGTTTGTGGACGACACCACTATGTCCGAGTGTGTGGAGAGAGGCAATGCGAGCACGATCCAAAATGCAGTGACTGAGTTCTCAGATAAGGCTCATGCTAACAAGTTCCAAATGAACGAGGCAAAATGTAAAGAGCTCAGGATCTCATTTGCTAGGACCAATCCCCAATTTGATTCGGTGATGGTCAATGAAAAGCCACTGGAGATTGTTCAACACGCAAAGCTGCTGGGCCTGAATATATCGAGCGACTTAAAATGGAACTTCCATGTATCAGAAACAACCAAGAAGGCTGCACCTCGTTTCTATTTCTTGAGACAACTCAAAAGAGCAGCCATTCCAACTAAGGAACTTCTGAAATTTTATACTACATGTATTCGCCCGATCTTTGAATATACATGCCCAGTTTATCACAACTCGCTACCCAAGTACCTATCGGACGACATTGAAAGGCTGCAGAAGAGAGCTCTAAGAATAATCTACCCTTGGATGCCTTACACTGATTCCCTCGAAGAAAGCGGTCTGCCTCGCCTCTTCGAACGCAGGCAGCTCTTGACGTGCAAGTTGTTTAATGAGATCACTCGAGATCAATCCCGCAAACTCAGACCTCTACTACCATCTGAAAATAACTGTTCATACCAACTGAGACATAAAAGGCAACTTAACGTTCCAAGGGCCAAAACTGATCGGTTTATGAATTATTTTATTGCTGCCCTATTTTGGAGTACTTGTAATCGATTTGTAAGCGTGGTACCAATTGGATCCCACACAAGACAGCAATAGTCAAAATACGGTTGAACCAGAGCGTAATAGACGGATAGGAGAGTGAGACGGTTAAAGTATGGCCTTAGTCGTTTTATTCATCTAAATGACTATCCCAAGATAAAAATTGATCAATTTGAATACCTAGGGACTTCGTTTCAGTTACATGTTTCATTGTTTATTATTGACCACAATGTTAGGTTCAGAGGTAAGATTATTGATCTTAGATCGACTTCCAATCAATAAATACTCGTTAACATTTGCCAAATCACTATTTATTTTCGATTAAATTTCCAATAATGATTTGCCACATGCAGTTATAGAGTAGTATCGTCTGCGAACATTCTAACACTAGGCGTATGAACACAATTTGGTAAATCGTTTATATAAACTAGGAAAAGCAAAGGACCTAAAATAGGTCCTTGGAGAACTCCGTAATTAATATTGCGGGAATTAGATAAATGCCCATTCGCGTAGCATGCACAATTGTGATCGATTTCCTAAATATGAACTGATAAAATTAAGTGCGGAGGGCTCAAACCCATAAAAACTTTGCTTTGACGTTAAGATCTTATGATTTATTGTGTCAAAGGCTTTTTTTTAGATCAAGAAAGACAGCAATGTTAAACATGCCACGATCCAAATTTGTATACCATTCGTTCGTGCTATGTAGCAATGCATCGGCAGTGGAATGATTTGGTCTAAATCCAAACTGATATTTCGAAATGATATTATTAGGAAATCTAATTGGCTCCTCTAAAAATAACAGGAAGTTGATCAATTTTTTATCAAATGAATTGATCAACTTGAGGAAAGGAATTGGTGCAATATTTTATCAACACTTCCATTGCATCGACAGTAAAGTAAGTGAATATCTGCCTATAAAGGATTTTCTCGAATATTTTGCTGATTGCTGGTAAAATAGAAATTGGGCGGTAATTATCGAGCAAATTTCTAGGCCCTGATTTATGAAGAGGAATAACTTTTGCTATCTTCCATTCGGATGGGAATGTTTCAGTAGCTATGGAATAATTGAACAAATTCGTTCAAGACTGAGCAATTACAGGGGCGGTTAACTTCAGTATTTTTCCTGGAATTTTGTCAACCCCGGTAGCTTTAGAAGGAGAAATTGTTTGCAACAGATGATAAACTAATTGTGGTTCCACACTTTGAAAACTGAAGGTAATATTTTTGGAAGCGGAGTTGTTCAAATATTCAGCAAAAGTACAATTACTATTTTCAACCGAATTTGCAACTTTGGCCCCTATGTCAGCAAAGTATTTATTGAAACAATCCGAGACTTCTTCGGGCATCACTACGTCTCAATCATTTACTTTGAGATTATTGATAATTGATTTGGGTGACTTACGACTTAAAATATTACTAATTCATTGCTTTCCAGGCATGTTTAGGATCGTTATTCTTGTTAATTATATTTCGATGATAATTTTCCTTATCTTGACGTATAGTGTTAGTCACCCTATTTCGGAGTGTCGAGAAAGCATTCCCGTCAGTTTCATGTTTTGTGATCATTGCTATACGTTTAAGTCGATCTCTCTCTCGTATCAAGTTTTTAGTGTAAAGTCAGTCAGTCAGTCATAGAGTAAACTTTCCGGGGGGTGTATACGATTTATGTTCGTAGTGATTTATTGTACTTAGTCAGTGCTTTGAAGGTTATTTAGGCAATTTCAGTTGTCTTATTTAAATATTCTCTAGGCCTTTTGCCAAGTTCACAATAAATCGTTGTCGTTATTGCAAATTTTATAACATTCGCTTCTCGTGTTGTGTAAAGGATCTTTACTCGGGAACACCTATTTTTTCGTTAGCAGTGCAAATACACATGCGCTATTAAGACGCAGATCAACGATGGCGTGACGATGCTACGAAGGAGCGATACAAATACCTAAGCATTTCAGCCGTGAATATTAAGTAATTTTTGAGAATCTACGCAATATATAAATTGATGTTATGCATTACAGGCATTCAATCAAGTACCGATATTATTTAAATGGTTTATTCATTATACAGAGCTAGGAAGACATAAATATTGATTATTGAGAAAATCTTGAGATTCTACCCAGTATATATATATTGATGTTTTTTTGTATTTTACCGGTATCAATTAATATTTTAAGTGCCGATATATATTTTTGCTGCCGTAGGCAGCACACTAATCTCGACAACTGATTTTGTCGTCATGACTCGTGCCAGTTTCCTTGACCGAGTTATAACCATGCAGCTTGAATCAAAATATAGAAGAAATTTGGATTTCTGTCGGAACTTCTCGGTACAAATACGGAACAATTTGGTGGTCTGTAGAGAGTAGCGATTATGAAAGGCCGAGTATATGGTTTATAAACTTCGATACAAATAGCCTCAAGATTTTCAGGCGTGATATGATTCAGGTTGCGATAGCTAATAGAGTTATTTACGAAAATACAAACCCCACCTCCGTGTCTATTGTGATCAAAAGGAATTATATCATAATTTGGAATACTTACGAGATCGTCAGAAATGGATCGATCTAATCTCGTTTCATTAATTGCTAGAATATCAAATTTCGAAGTGACACTACTTCCTTTACGGTTTAGATCAAACCGCGTCGATTTAAACAAGATCTGTCTACGTCGCTATTATCTATAAAACACCAATTATAACTAATACAAATGGCCTTAAGTCGCTTATTCGTATCATGAATTTTGTTTATTATACTTGAGTTATCTTGCCGAGTTATTAAACTAGAAACAGATATTTTCGTAGAAGGAGAGTTGGTATTGTGTTAATCGTGCCGTCTGTGTGTTAATCGTGCCGTCTGTGTGTTAATCGTGCCGTCATCAGTTCTTGTCAACAAAATATCGAAGAAAGCAAGTTGGTTGTTATCTGCTTCTTCTTTCGTGAATTTTATATTTTTTGTAGTATTGTTTATAGTATGTAAAATGTCGTCAGTCTTGTTTTTCTTAACTGTAATAAGGACGTCGTCGACGTATCTGTTCCATGCTTGTGTGATGTTACTCCTGAGTGTATATTCACACCGGGGAGGCTTGGAAAATATGCCTGGCTACGGTGGGATTCGAACCTACGACCTTTGGAATACTAGCCCATTGCTCATTTGCTCTGCCAACTGAGCTACGCGGTCAGGTCGGTTCGAGTATGCGATATTTCGGCACTGAGTCCATGTTTTAATATCGTTATTGTTAGTAACGGATATCTTTTCTTGATCCTACACTGAGGCCGCGGAGCATTTCGAAAGTTGAGGGGCATTGGCCAAAAGGGGCACTTTTGTATATGACCAAGATCAAACGATTTTATGTCGTTCACGAGCCGAACGAAAATTTTTGAAAATATGTAGCCTCTATGACGTCGGAAATGGCCTTTACAGAGTCTTTACTACTGCAAAAACGGCACTTTCTTTCCAGCAAAAGAGGGCGTTCATTCAAGAAATACTTTTTTCGTTCTGTAAATGGGGCACTTCAGCCCAGAAAAAAGGCACTTTTTCACTTTTAAAAAAAGGGGGGTGCAGATGACCCCATTGCCCCCCCCCCGTTCCGCGGCCCCTGATCCTACATGACTGCTTCAGCAAGGAAACTAGAAAGAGGAGATCCCATAGAAAGAGAAGATCCAATGCATTGGCAGTTTAAGAAGCGCAACATGATTCAAGCGATATGAGAATTTTTCAATAGATTTAGCTTATAAAGGTTTCTGTGATTGTATCTAGGTTATAAATACGAAGCTTGCCTGCAAAAGTGCGAATATTTCAGCTTCGTTGGAAAGATATTTACATTATAGCAGCCAGCCCGTGTGCTTTGTCTTGGTGAGCCTGACCAGTCTCATATAAACATTGATGAAGTTTGTCTCAGCAAAGCGCGCCTACTTGGGCCGGCCCGTCTTCATATCTCCTTAGATAGTCTGCCGCCATATCTTCCCATCTGAAAATTTGTTTGTTAAAATGTGACTCCCATATGGCCGAGGGTATGACATCCTCTTTATAGCTGTATTTTGTCACTGATTATGAGAAATTCGATGGTTGTGAAAAGCGATCACTCATTGAGTTTCATACTTTCAAAATACTTTATTTTAAAGGAAAACCAAGCTACCTAATTTATTCGAGCAATTAAGACTGATTTTCTTTCTTTTGCTATATATAGCTTGGATCATCAGTGATGTATTTTGCAGCTGAGTCACGTTTCTTACTCGGTAGTGATGGCAGTGGCACGTCCATTTTTATTGGTTTTACGAAAGATGGCAGAGAATTGGCAGTAAAGAGAACGTTGATAACATCGAGTAAAGCTAAGAATGAGCAGAAAATCCTTCGTCTTATTGCAACAGAGAGATCGCCATTTATAGTGAACTATCGACATTTTTTCCAAGACGAGGTCTTCATGTATCTAATTCTAGACCTCTGTGAAGAAACATTGAGGGAACACGTTTATTCTCAAACAGCCCAGCATATACAAGGGCATGGTCCAAGAATGATCAAAGAAATCTTATCTGGTCTTGAATTTCTTCACCATCGAAGAATTTTGCATCGAGATCTGAAACCAACTAATGTTTTGGTTGATGTCGAAGGTCACATGAGATTGGCAGACTTTGGAAAAAGTGGCATTTTGAATGAAGATGAAACTACAGTTAATATTGGTGATCGTGCGGGAACCGTAGGCTGGATGCCTGTCGAGGTTATTAAAGCAATAAATGAGCAGGAGGACTGGAAAATTAGATTTAAAAGGAAATCTGATGTCCAAGTAGCAGGTATGCTTGCTTTCTTCATTTCATCTAAAGGTAATCATCCGTTTGGTGATGGGATTCAAAGAAGGACGAATATTGTGGAAGGAAATCCTGTTCACTTGGACAACCTACATAATCGTGACGCTCGAGATTTTGTTGCATGGTTGATCAGTCATGACATTGAAGATAGACCTTATGTTCACGAGGCGTTAAAAAGTCCCTTCATGGTTCAGGCAAAAGAATATGAAGTTTATCCCAAATTAATAAAAGGTTGGTAATTAATATCTGCGAACCACAACGAATCGTAATGTGACACGTGCACTTATAATGTCTGTAATGTGTAGACCTATGTTTACATTCTTTATTATATTCATTTTGAAATCAATGGTGTTTCCTGCAATCTGATTGGTTCACAGGAGTGCGATATCAGCACGAATCGCACTGCGATTCGTGCTGAAATCGCACTCCTGTGAACCAATCACATTAGATTATTGGGTTTTACTGGGTAAAATGACCATGGCGGTCAACATGGCATATGTGCCCGCCCTGAAACTGCAGTGTCGACATAGCTCTAACTTCCGAAAAGGAAAAACAATAGCTTTTCTGAAGTGCTTATAGCGTTCAGAAGGGTTGGTTTTAGGGGTGGTCATTGAAAAGAAATAATTGTCTAAATATAATATTTTACAAGAAAATGACCATGCACCACCCCAGGTAAATTGCTAATTATGCACAAAATAACCAATATGCCTGGCAGAAATTAAATTTTCTTATTTCCTAAAAAAGTTATCATGGGGTGAAAAACTATGCTCAATTTAATATAATTATTGTGGATTTCATAAGGATTGTCATTATTTTCATTAAATATAATACATTTTATTTCACTTACACTTACCACACACACGAATACACGATTTCAACCATATTTTGCCCTCTTCTTTGCTTTTTGTCGCCGAATCTGGCAAATATCATTCAGTTGTTGTACTTTTACATAATTATAAATGGCTGAAGAAGATTTCAAAGAAGATTTCATCAACTTTTGAAATAGTGCAGTGTATTTTATCTTCGATGTTGTGTCCTTCGATATTTCATGAAATATGGCGCCATTGCAATAGCTAGCCGCTTCTCTGCCCGATAAATACCACTTCTTCGTCTTCGTATGTATTTAGATTTCAGTATCCAAGAGTACTTCATTGTAGAATAGTCCCAATCCAAAAATTGAAAACATTAGTTGTGCTTGAAAGGAGAAAACCTCCCATAAAACATGTTCAGTAACAATCCAAAAGAAGTAATACACGCGCAAGTTTGCGGAAATTGCTCGTGGGCTACATGCCAGGGGGGTTGAATATTTTCACAAAACGTTTGTTCGCCACCACAGCAACCTAACTAAATACACTATATTTGTTGAATGTTTATGATTGATGATAAAAATACGCAAATATTTATTGTTTTTATCATCAATCATAAAAATACAATAAATATAGTGTGTTTAGTTAGGTTGCTGTAGTGGCGAACAAACGTTTCGTCCCGCTCGTATTTATTTTACGCGAGGCGAAGAGAACCTCTGGTGGCACGCGATACAAATCTCTCTTCCTTTGGTACAAAATTTGTACCAAGCACATGATTGGTTAGTTATAATTAGCAGTCACATGAAGTGATGTGATATCCTGTGTATAAATCTCAGAGAAAATTATGTAAACAAAATACATTTTACTTAACGTAGTGTGGGTTATTTGAGATTATAACTTAGTCAGTTGTTCCGCTATATAAAGATTTTCTGCGCTGAAGAAGAGCTGCCATCGCGGCTTGAGTTGACGGCATGACATGTTCACTCTATTACAGTATTAATTATATTTGTAAAATATAAAGTCACTGTGTTGGTCACTTGCTTATCGTTCAAAGTTTTAAATTTTGGTAATTCTTTGACTTTAATAATTATTAATATGATTTATTTTGCCAATATTTTCCCGTTGTTTGTTAAGGACAACCATACTGGCTCCGTTGCACACATATATAAATATTTATACATTTATATTCTTTCACTTTTGACTTTATACGTTCGCTAAGACAAACGGCATTCCACAAATTTAACAATCAGTAAGGTTGCTTTGTGCGTTGAATAATTTTCTAATGATACAAATCTACAATGAACATACAGAGTGATGTTTTAAGCAAAAATTCGTATTTTTTGTTTTAAAAACTTCAAAAAAATATCTTACACGTTTAGGGCAGGGCGCTTGGTAGGGGGGTGGGGGACGCTTTATAGAGGGCCATGTGATGGAGGTTGTATTTCATTTTGCGTAGTACTAAATCTTGTTTTAACTTTATTTTGTCAAGGTAGAGAAGTTCGTGATATTGAAGCTCTCGCAAAAGGTAAAGCAAAAAATAATCGAATTCCGATTATGCTGATCGGGCAAGGCCGAGGCGGAAAGACTTCGCTAATGAGACGTCTTTTAGGAATACCATTAAATCCCTCCGCCACGCCCGTGGCATTAGGGAGCTTTAGATTTGACTACGGCTACGAGATCTAGTACGACTACGAGATTTTTCCTTTAAATATCTGCTCCAAAAAGCTTAAAACTGTACTTAGTTTGGTTCAAGTGTTGTTTTAACGATGTGCTATGCCAAAGAGAGGACAATAGCAAGCTTGAACCTTTCTGTGTTTTTCGATTTGATATCGCTGAACTCTGCTGTTTTGTATGGATTTTTATTGTGCCGTCCTCTGAATGTTTGTCAGTTTGTGATCATGAAGTGACGGCCGTCAAGAAGTGAAGAACATTTACTGTTTCAAATTATCTTTTAGAATATTGCGATGGTATTTTACCAACCGCGTGGCCAGTGTGAACGCCTGAGCAGGCGTCTTCTTATATATAAGTCCTGCATTATTAAATTTTACCGTTGTCGTGATGAGGGCACTCCACCATATTTAAGTTTACGGTTGATACTTTTTCCAGATGGTTCAATACATTTCTTGATTTAAAATATGCGAGTCCGGCATTGATGTTTTCCGTAAAAATTCGGTCAGCATTCGAAAAATGTTTACGTTTTAGGGTCTTTAGGAGTGATTTTCTTCTAGTAGCAGGAAAGCCTTTCCAGGGCATGCAGGAATAATTTTCGAAATCTATTTGTTAAATAAAGTGGTGTTGGTGCATATTTTTGGAGGCCCGATGGAAAAGTACTTTAATCTGTTCAATCTTACGTCCCCTGCAGGGTTTGCAATTCGTATAGTGTGTGCACTGCCAATGGGCCTGTAAATTTGGCTTGTACAAAACAACCTGATGATATCATGTACCCAAAATTTAGTTCAGGCTACCCTATCTTGGCAAAAGAGTTAGAACAGAACTCCACGTGAAATTTTTAATTACATTAATAAAATAAAAGGGTCCAATTAACAATAGGCGACTTGCACCAAGAGGTCACGTGACCTTAATCCTCTTAAATTAGTAGATAAGGAACTACAAATATACAAACCTACACGTTTTGGACAGGGCGTTTGGTAGGGGGGGGGGGACGGTTTATAGAGGTTCATTTGATGGATGTTATATTTCATTTTACGTAGTGCTAATTACTAAGTCTTGTTTTATCTTTATTTTGTCAAGATCATGACGAGGAATGGCGTCGTTTGCAAGCTGACAAAAAAGGTAAAGCAAAAAATAATCCAATTCCGATTACCCGTGGCATTAGAGAGTTTGGCAAATACAACGGCAACGGCAACATGGTCATCAACAATAGCATTGATCCTAAAAGACAAAGGCGAATGTAAATTACATGGTCTTAAGAGCCGCCGTCTGTAAATATCGACTGGAGGTATGCAAAATGAAAAAATTCAAAATCTTCCAACTTTGTCAGAATATAGGTCTAGGTAAACTATTACTAGAAATATAACTTTAAGTTCAATCAGATTCTTATTTTGGGCGAATGGCTATTTTTTATTTTTACGTCTCTCAGACTGGTTTAACAGGACACATACCGCAGGTCTGTAAACACAGATCGCTTTAAAATTGAAATAAATAGTTATCACAAACATTTATTAACCATTTCAAAGAGGAAGTATTTCTATACAATTTTCTTGTTCGTTTATGAAATTTGCGTTTAAACCAAATATTGTAGCGATTTGTGGCTAAATTTAGAGTGGAAAATCGTTCATTGGACCTCCGCTTTGACGTTTAAGGCCATATCCATGCGAAAGAGCAACGTTTCTTCTTGAATTTAGTAGAAAAACAATTTTGGGCTATTGAAATTTTGGGCTACGGTTTTTGGGAACGCCAAACGAAAGTGCATGGCCTCGAAGTTAAGGGGAGGGTCTACCCAAACTTGAGAATCGCTACTAGCTATCTTTAAAGGTCTGTTGTGGCAATACTTTTTAAAAACCTTATGGCAAACTATATATCAGGAGAAAGCTAATGGAATGAAGATTCTAAAAAAATATATTTAAGGTGGCTACAATGCGTTGCCATTGGCAACCAGGTGGTTAAAGTGGCTACATGCTGTTTCTCGACAGACTGAAGTTGAAAAAAAATATCTTGCCAGGGGCAAATTCAAATCACCCCATTTTTTAATAATAGACATAGCACTTAGTAATTGTGGGGATGAGTTGAGGATTTTTGAAAATTTTAAATATTTCACTAGAAACAAAGGGTTAAAGTTAGCGCATAAATATACTAGGTATTTTTATGCAATAACTCTGGTTAAAAACTAAATATGAAAAAATCCTCAACTCATCCCCAACACATAGCAAGATGCATAAATCCTGAAAATTTCAGATCAATTGGTCAAATTGTTCTAGAGATATCCTTTTTCAACCTGCGAAATAGGTGATTTTGAGAAAACGGCATTTAAAGTTTTGGTTATTTGTGATGTCTATGAATTAATGTCTAATGTACTCAAATCCATGACCAAAGTCTTTCTGGATGTACTTAAAAGGTACCAGCTTGATATGTGGTAACATCTGTCTTTCTTAAAGCTTCTTCCTTTCTTACACAAATAATTTTCTCCCCTTGATGTCACTTTTTCAGTTGCTCGCACATCAGCATGCTCACACGTTTTCTATCCTTTGAAGCCGAACGTTTGCTTGTATATTCCCCACCTGGAATTAACAGCTTTTTCATTATATACAGTGTACTGGCAGCTCCACAAAATGCTGGATAGTGTAACCAATCCTTCATAGCCAACAACCAATTTCGATTGAACTGTAAACCATCCGTCGATTTACATCATAAGATCACCCCCTTCGCGATACACTATCAGATGTATCTAAGACCTCAACATTTTTACACGAAACACATTCCATGTTCAGGCTTGACATAAACCCCTGTTTCATTCCTTCTTCAAGTAACAGGTTTCCTATGTGAAAGTTTTGAAAAATTTCTAGTGAGATATAATAGCATAATATTTGGGCAGTACACACACATGACATGATGACAGTATGTAGTGGTATTTATTGGTCCACTGGGCAAGCAGAAATTTGTAGTAAAACTGCATTCTACAACTAAGAGATTGTTTCAAATTTTACCAAAAGTATTTTACAAGTTAGAAACAAAATCATGAAGCCTACCTTTTCGACATTTATGAATATCAAAGACAGCAGATGACAGCTGTTGAATGTCAACAAGTCTGTATCAGTGTATCACTGTATGCAGATGTTTGGTCGGCAATTCTTTCTTCTATAGCATCTTTTGGGGGTACCAAGGCAGCTATGCTGACTCAATTTCCATCTTAATGCATTAATGAGTGTTGGAGTTCCTTCTAATTGAGGTGTAGTTGCACCTTTATCGGCAAGCGTGTCACCCAAGTCAGACCTCTGTGAATCAGAATCACTATCAACATCTTGATCACCCAAGGACGATTGATTGTCCTCAGACGCTTGCTTTTACAGACCAACACAGCCAACTCTTTTACGATAGACACTTCTCTTTCTTTTACTAATCATTTGACTAACTACAACGCTTTTATAACATCACCAGAAAATATTTCAACTTGCTGTTGGGTGACCGTGAGCTCGCTTTTCAAGAAACCACAATGCGCTAGACAATGCATTGTTTTGAAGTAACAGCCGCTGAACAGAGAGTTTGCAGACCCTTCTTGACTGTTCTCTTCAATTTTTAGCAAACATGACATATTACACCAAAAAACAATGAAAATTTTAAAAAATACCATGTCCGTTGCCATAGTAACGCATGCAAATTTTAAATACACAGTCATAAAATGTTGAAAAAAACACAAAATCCGTGAGAAATACCCCCCAATTTTTTGGCAGTGGTTAAATGAAGGAATAAACTTATGTTTTAACCCCCAAAAAAATAATTCAATTTTCCGTCACTGTTTTGGTAGACCCTCCCCTTAAAAATAGCTTTTCAAGTTACGTAATCTAAATGCAATGAATCTATGACAACCGAAAGGAAAAATATTTAATCAACTTCCTGTGAAAATTATTTGCTTGAAACTGAGGTCTAACTATATTCAGTAACATTGTGTAGTGATTCCTGATACTTTTTCGTGAAATTATTGGCCTCTACCGCTCTAGCAATATTTTTAATTGACGAACCGACTCGAACTGTACAAATTGTACGGCGATAAACAGATTGTTTATTTCAATATAGAATCTCATTAATATAAATTATTGATGGTGATTGATCTATTTGCTGCTAAAGGAAATTAATGAATTATCAACAGGTTATAAATCTGTACCTGAACGAGCGAAGTTAACTGAATGTTGTACTATAAGCTAGAACGTCTGTTTATTTTGCGCAGAGAATGCATCACGTAGGATCCAGAACTCGCGTAGTTGCATTCCTATCACAAATGCATTCCTATCACGTATGTTCATTGTTATTTTTTCCCTTTCTTTTCCTTTTCTTCCGCATTAAGTGTACCTTTTCAAGCTTTTGATTGTCTTCATGTCCTTTTTCTTTTCCATTTCTCCCTTTTATTTCTTTTTCATTTTTCTCTATTTTCAAAATCCCTTTCAATTCGCTTTATAAACCTGTTGTCGAATTAGACTGGTTCATATTTAAGCAGTAATTTGTCAAAGTCGAGTTTATATTATTTCCTCTGCTATCACATTACGTTTAATTACACGAGCATGATGCTACACGCTCCGATATCCATTTTTTTGAAGGGCGCCTTACGCGTATCTGAAATGCCATCTATATCCAAATCAAAGTGGTTGCATATCAAGCGCAACATTGCAATGCTGAGTGTTTTCAATTTATTTGCAGCGCACATATCGCAAAGTGTCGTAGATAACTGGATGAGTAATCTGACACTCCTTGATAACTACTTCCCGGGTAGAAGAGTAGGCGGCTTGATCTTCAATGGCTTTGGCATCGTTTTCGTCGTTATCTCTAAGCTTACGAGACCGCAATTTTGCTGCTGCTCTTGAGAAATACGATTTTATTTGTTGAGGTGTCAAAATTCATTAACACTAAATCTGCGGCTCCCATCATCACTTTTTGCGTACCTCGTATCCTGAGCAACTTGCATGTGCTGGATCTGCTTTGCGTCCAGAATGCTGGCCGATTGAAAATTTGTCATCAAGGTACTGCTTCTGGTTGTTATTGAATCGACCACCCTTTTTTGACGACTTCAATGCCCAGCCTCGTGGAAGCGTTGCTTGACTAGAAGTGGCACTGCAGGACCGACTATGAATGGCTGTACACTGGATCCTTCCATTAGCTTATTTCTGTATAACATCTGAGCCTGGTCAAGAAGGCTGCATCTTTCAGGAACGATCTTACACTTCCCATAAAACATGTGTTCCTCAAGACTGGAGTGTCGCTGGAAAGTGCAAACACATCCATCAGCTGGGCAGGAAAAAAGTTCATTACCCTGTGTGATCATCTGGTGTTCCTCTACTTCTTTTGGCTTTTCTTTTCCCTTGGTCGTAGTGGTCAAAGTACGTACATCCGCAAAATCGCCAGTAGTCAATTGAGTATTTGCCAGGAGGTGATCGTGCGATAATTGATGTTGTACTATAAATGTGAAAAAAATAAACTTTGAAAGTATCTTTAACATAATTAATTAAGTAGTTTTATTACTATACTTTGGTAACTAAAAATTATAAATAACCTTTTAATGCAGACCATGGTATAACCTTTCCTTTCCCTATATCGTAAGCTCTCCATATTGTGATATCCTTCTTGTCATAGTGGAAGTTGTTCAGAAAGCTTACGCCCTCTAATTTTCCATCAACACACACCGAGTTTTGCCCTTGGAGGTCAACTAGAGCAACCCGAACACCATCAACACCACCATATGAAAACATAGCCTCTTTAAAATCAGCTGCTGTTAGTACGTCGTGGCCCTCGTTGATATAGCGACAAACGTGTTTCCACCTTGTGGATCGCTGACGAACGTTTTCCACCTTGTGGATCGCTGAAGTCTACCCTTTGGACCTTTATTCCTGTTGTTCTTGGATAAAATGAAAACTTATATACATTGACACACGACTGAATTTGGCGGTAAGGACAGATATTAGGCAGCCTGGATGCTCTAGTCAAAGGACACACGTCATCAGGAAGACTGATTCCAACAAGGCCTTGATGGATCTTGTAGAACATAGTGGTTAGTGTGGCAGTCGCCGTTGTTGGAGATTGTCCCAACCCAGGTGGTCGATCATTGGAGAGACCTGGCTAGCTCTGGAATAGTCATTGAAGACAAATCTAGCAGCTCTGCGTTGAACCATCTCGATCTTGTTGATGTTCCTCTTGGTGTAAGGGTTCCAGACTGTAGAAGCATACTCAAGTTGCGGACGGACAAGACTAGTATACGCTCTTGACTTAACAGCAGCGCTACATTCACCAAGGATTCTTCTAAGTAAGCCAAGAGTGCTATTTGCCTTACTACATATGATGTCACAATGTTTGTTCACAATGTTTGTTCGTGGCTTAGCGGTGAGTGCGCTCGCCTTTTACCAATGCGACCTGGTTTCTGCAGGTTCTCCACAAATATCAACTTAAAAATTCCAATTTGATCTGGGAGATGATAATTCTCATGGGCGTACCGGGCGGGTGGCGGAGGGGGCGGCAGCCCGCCCCCCCCCCCAGTTTGTTGGGCAAACAAAGCCAGTCGGGCAATATTCGCTTCACAGTCGGGCAATATTGGCTTATTATAAAAATAAATGGGACAAATTCTGTCAATTTTGTGGGAAATTCTGTCAATTTTGTGGGAAATATGCTATCTAATAGGAATTTTTCGTAATCACTCCTCCCCTCCCCCCGTCGACAACAATTTTGGAAAGTTTCTCCGGAAAATTTTTGACAACGCGGGCACAATCCGAAAAAGTCGGGCAAATTTCTTTCCTAATTTTTCCTTCCCGTACGCCCATGATAATTCTCAATAGATCTAACCTCTGCTATCTCGATCCTTTCGCCCTATAGTGCGATAAAATTTATATTTGTTTGTTTGCTTCTTTGTTTGTTTTATTTATTTTTACTCTTGTCAGGCTTTATAACGTTTTGCGAGAGGTTCAGAATCACCATAATACGCACCTTGTAGTCTGTCTTAAGGTATTACTTTCCTTCTTTCAACCGCTTGTTCGCACCTTTCTACCCACTGTCTGTCTTGACCGCGATCAACTACTTGGCTACTTTTAGGCAAAATGTGGTTCGCTATAACTACAGCTTCTGTTTTAAAAAAGTAGTCAAAAACTACTGGCTACTTGAAAATTGTAATTCGCTACAGTAGCGAACTACAACTACTTCGCTACTACCCACCCTTGTTTGTTGCTATAGGCTTTGTTCTACTATATATTCTCCTTGACATACTGTACGCATATGTACGTCCTTGGATGATATTTTCGCCAAATTTATAAACAACACAGCATCATTTTGAAAATTTGAATTAGCTATGTAAGTCAACTTTGAACCACCTGAATACCTTAAGAGTCGATCTTAAAAATCTGAACGAGAGCATATAGATATTTTAGGTGCTTAATTAATACGTTATTTACCGTCTCAGGAGCGTCCCTTGACCTTTTGTCTCGGGCCGCTTCCAAAACCGCGGAAAATATTTTTACAGTATAACCCGGTAAATAACATGTATATATTATATTCTCTGCAAAACTTTATACACGACATATATCATAACACACTGAAAGTGTTAAAATTCTCTATGCTGACATACAATAGATCATAATAATTCTGTTACATTTTTCTATGTTGACGATTTCAAGCAATCGCTATTGTCTGCACGGAATATCAATCGCGACTGCGGTTTGAACAATATAAAATATATTCTTATACTCTACACTCTGTGACAAGTATAAAGCATTTTCTGGCTGAATTTTAACACACATGATAGCAGGAGAATATTAAGCTATAAATCTTATGAAAAAAAGATAACAAAGGTTTGCTGCTTACCTGCTCTGGCTAGAAGAAGATCTGCCTCCGTTTTCAAAGCTAAATCATAACAGTTAAAATACTTCAAATGACTTTTCACATCTTTCTTACAATTTGCTATTGTTATGCATGTAGCATTAGCAGGATTAGAAGAACTGCTACCGCAAGAACCACCGACGAAGAAAGAGTAATAACTACACGACGCCATATCTGAACTAGACCGGCTATATATAGAATAGTGCAATGTACAGTACAATTCGAGCAGCATCAAGCATTTAAAAATATTGCTAGAGGTTTAATGTTAACAGTAATTTCACGATTTATATCGTGTGTTTTATCGTGTTGCTTTGAAAGCCCCCTCATTCCAGTCCAGGTCCTCCCCCCCCCTGATGGAATGTTTTCAAACGAGGAGGCCAGGTTGCTGAGCCGCCTCTCGTGGCAACGATCATGGGGTTAGCGCCTCTTTCGAAAATGGAATTTTGAATTTTTGATAAAAAATGAATTTTTGAACAAACCAAGTTCTTTCGAAAGAGGAACGTTCATACTCTTAGGCGATGTGAAATTTATTGCTCTGCGACGATTTTGAGGCGAGATATTGGACTCGATGTCGGAGAGTATATCAGATAAGTGGCTAGCCTTGTAGTTATTTATGTCCTATATGGCCATGTCATCCAGTGCCAGTACTGACGACCGTTCAAGTACGACGAAAACGTAAAGCAATCACATCAACTAGACTCAGAAACACAACAAATGCATTCTATTAACAAGTGAGATATATTTTTTACATATATTGTTAATATTTTTTGAATTATTTTGTTATTTTAAAATATTATAACGGTTAAATATTCAAAATATATAGGACGTTCAGAGATTGGGCCGCCTGTGGTTGACATGGATTCATTGCATTTAGGGGCGGACCATTAGAAATCCCGGGAGGGGTATAAAATTTTTGCGGCACGATTTTTTTTTCAGTCTCAAGTCTCTGCAGGATTTTTTTTTAAAGGACATTGGCACCCAAAATTTTTATTACTTATATCTCTTAGGTATACTTGCGGAATATTTAATTTCATATTTTGGCCGGTTTGTCGCGTTTAGTTGATGAGAAAATTTGATAGAAAGTTCAACAGTTGTCCGCCATTTTGAAAATAAGCGCGTATGCTAATTTATGCCTCAAATACATTATCTGACGTCATTGGCTGGGTAAAAACAATTTCATGACTATAAACAATACCGAGTATTGCCACGCGTAGTGCATTTGAACCGAAACAAAAGGCAGCAAAGTTTTACCAAGTATGTAATTTGTTTGTAACACTATTTCTCATAGTATATATCCTACTCCGTGTTAAATAAACGCAGAAATTCGAGTGCAACAAGACAAATACTAATGCAATATTTTATGATCAATTACCTGTATTGTAAATTGCGCCATTCCTTGCTTTCCCAGTCGCTCGATATGTTTTTATCTGATAGTGTAGACTTATCTTGTTTGATTGCGAAGAGTGTTGGCCAGTATAACGCTCAAAACGACATATTTTTAGCTAACATAACACGCACGCAATAGAATTCTCTCTTGTAGTTTTAGTGCTACCCATCCAATGACGTCACAAAGTTCATTGACCTTCGAGATAATTTGTCAAAAAATATTTCCAAGATGGCGGCGAAAGACAAAGTTTGCATGCATTTTACTCGTAAACTAAAATGTTTGAGAACGAAATGATAATATTTTCATAGTTAGGTCGTCAAGTAGGATTGAAATAGCCAATAAAAATTTTCGGTGCCATTGTCCTTTAATGCATTTAACCTCTGCACAAATTTTTTTTCAAGACCATTTGTACTTTGCTGTTTGCTTGCACGAATTTTTTTCCTCTGACGTAATGGCTGCACGAATTTATTTCCAGGCATTTTTCTTTGCACGAATTTTTTGGGGGAATTTTCACACACACCCCCCCCCTCCCGGGATTTCTAATGGTCCGCCCCTTAGATTACGTAAGTTGAAAAGCTATTTTTAACTTCAAGGCCACTTGCGTTTGGCGTTCCCAAAAACCGTAGTTTCAATAGCCCAAAAAATATTTTTCTACTAAATTGAAGAAGAAACGTTGCTCTTTCGCATGGATATGGCTTTAAACGTCAAAGCGGAGGTCCAATGAACGATTTTCCACTCTAAATTTAGCCATTTTTTGGTCTCGAAAAATTCAGTAAGTTAAGTAAAAAATCAAAAATCGCTGAAATATTTGGTTTAAACGCAAATTTCATAAACGAACAAGAAAATTGTATAGAAATATTTCCTCTTTGAAATGGCTAATAAATGTTTGTGATAAATATTTATTTCAATTTTTAAGCGATCTGTAAACGACCTATGGTATGTATCCTGTTAAACCAGTCTGAGAGACGTAAAAATAAGAAAAATGCCGTTCGCCTAAAATAAAAATCTGATCGAACTTAAAGTTATATTTCTAGTAATAGTTTACCTGGACCTATATTCTGACACAGTTGGAAGATTTTGAATTTTTTCATTTTGCATATCTCCTGTCGATATTTACAGACGGCGGCTCTTAAGGGTTGTGCAATGCCGTATATATAGACGTAGTTGTTGAAACTGGTACGTGATTTGCACATTTTCACGGTGCATGACCACGGCAACAGTTAATTCGTTCGATGTTATTTGAAGTATTATATTTGAATTCGCGGACTATTTTTACTTAAAGAGGCTGTCAAGTCCGTTACATTTTCAACTCAGTGCTACAGTTGTAAAATATGATTAGATATATATTATACTAAATTTTTAACCCTTTCTGGTTCGCTATGCTTGTAAATGAATACAGACTAGAGATTCAATTCAAGAAAGTTCAAAATATACGAAATATTAATAACATTCCAACGGTCGGGTCCCGACCATTGGAATGTAAGCCTGCGCAGAACGTATGAGCAGAACGGATTGACAGCCTCTTTAAGGGCTGTTTTTACTTAAGGGCTGTTTTAGAGAAGCAAGAATACTTAAAGAGGCAAATTAAGTGTAGTAACGTATACTTTGGCTCAAATACAATAATATAAGCCATTATATTTCCCCCGTTGCCGTTCTAGGTTGCCAAACTCTCTATTATAACGACAAACGAACAACAGGATAAAAGAAAGGAAGTATATAAAATTCAACAGCTGCATTAAACATCCTACGAGGAGAAAGACGGCGTCTTTATTGCATGGTTTTTCTTTACGCCCAATATTTAACAATTATTCGCCGAAGGCGAAGTGATTACCGGTGAATATTCACCGAGACGAAATCGAGGTGAATATTCACCGTAATCACAATCTCGTTCCCAGAGTATGCCTGTTCGCGGGTTAGGTAGTGGCATGACTCTGGGGAAATCGAATTTTTTTTATCCAAAATGAGATAAATGGCGCATGCGCTTTTATTGCTTTTTTTTATTCCGCTTACTAAATTCGCGCGGGCACACGCTCACAATCGATATTGTTTTAATTAATAAACAAAGATTCTCATCAGAATAATCAGTATACAAAATGGGTTTTTATACGTTTAAAGGTGCTTTAAATCGTACTACTATTAAATTATATTCAATGGCAAATACTGAAAGAGCTATGAAAGTTGTTCTAGCGAAAAGAGGGCTTGAATATTCGTTAAAAGGCGAGACATTCAAATGTATCTCGGCCATAATGTAAAATGGTGAAATGTTTTGGTTGTTTTGCCAACAGGTTATGGGCTTATTATGGCAAATATTAAAATATTTCAGCTGCTACCTGACGTGTACGACGTGTTACTTGGCGTAACTATTAAATTCTATCGTGATAGTCATATCTCCACATGAATGACCAAGGCATTTCTGCATGCATGATGTCAAAGTATGATACAAGGCCATTCTGTGCTACACTATATTATGGTGATGGCAGCGATATCAAATTACCATTGGATCGACATGAGAACCTGACGTATAAGCTGTTCTATATGCACCCAGAAATGTGTGTCTGTGACAAGAAAATACAAGCTTTTTTTAACTGTATACTGTAAACCTCTGAATATAATGCTCACCTCATTCCAAATATAAGCCCCCCCCCCAAATATAAGCCCCCCTGAATATAAGTCCCCTGAATATAAGCCCCCTGAATATAAGCCCAGTATCCCACTATGTTATTTAACATTGACATTGTCTTTTAATATAGCAGAGAACGATATTTGAAACACTGTCATTGTCTTTATAGCTTACTATGTTAATGGAGTGTGTTATTAATACATGTTTATTTTCCTGTTTATGACTGACTTGTTTATTACTAACACAATTGATCGTCCATGTATAAGGCCCCCATGCATATAAGCCCCCTCCCCTAAGCCCATCAAAAATCACTTACAAAAGAATATAAGCCCAGGGCTTATAGTCAGAGGTTTACGGTATTATATATCCCATATTTTAACAATAAACACATTATTTTTTATATTATATTACATTAACATATATACATGGAGCACATATAAAGTCTTTAAATGACAGTACATTGTGTTTGTAATTATAATTACCATAATTACTTGTGTCGAAAGTAAGAAATGAAGTGAACAAATCCATATACCGGGTGGCGCAAAAAAAAGTTAACCTGTTTGATTTGTTTTAACTTAAAAGCTAAAAGAGCTATTACATGTAAACTACGTGCATTGTATTCAGTATTGTCTAACTTAAATTTTGATATACGCCCTGTGCATTTTCGTGCAATATTGACCGAGAGAGCTGCGTTTAAACTTGAGTAAACATTTTTGAAAGTGTCGAGAATTAGCCAAAAACGGCCTATCAAATATTTAATACAGCAATATCCTGTGCTTAGACGCACTATAGTCAGAAAGTACACGTTCGTTGTCAGAGACCTGCCCAACGCCGCCGGTATAACCTCACGAGCATTATTTACCCTTACATATTCTAAACATATCAAAACTCTTTGGTCATTCGCTAAACGAGGCGTATTTATAAAAAAAAACACTTTACGTTTCTTTCTTGGAACATTAGAATTTGATTCCCCAGGGTCATTGGATATTTAGAATAAATCTTTTAATCAAAATCGCTTCATAAATTAATTTTCATGTATTCCCAAAGACCTTAAACAAAAATAAAAGAACACCTCCATCCTATAAACATTTTTAATTTAAACTTCACTTCATTGAAACGAATATTTACGATAAAATGGTAAGGGTTATCAAATTAGTTTAACAGGCCGTTTTTAGCTAATTCTCGACACTTCCCAAAATGTTTATTCAAGTTTAAACGCAGCTCTATCGGTGAATATTGTACGAAATTGCACAGGGCGTATATCAAAATTTAAGTTAGACAATACTGAATGCAATGCACGTAGTTTAGATGTAATAGCTCTTTTAGTTTTTAAGTTAATATAAATCAAATAGGTTAACTTTTTTTTGCGCCACCCGGTATATTTGTTGAAAATTTCTTGCAGTGGGTATCTTCCATTTGTTTTTCATGCTTCATACTGTGTATCTTTGGAACATTTAATCAGCAACTAATTATAGGCAAGGATATATTTACTAGCTCATTACTCCATATTACCAGGTACATGCCTGTATTAAACATGCAATACATCAACCTTGCAATCCAGGCTTTAACCCCTGCAGTTGCCCCTCTCCTGCAGCATGTTTGGGAAGGGAGAGGAAGGAATGGAGGTACTGTAATTTCTATATTTCTATTCACATAGTATAATAGTTTGGAAATGGAATCAATACTTGTATATTTTTAGCAAATGAGCATTGTTATTGATCAACAATGACTCTTATTGCTATAAACAACATTGTTTCACATAGCAACAGACAAGGAAACATCTGTATTTAAATTCACTACTTATTTTTTATCCAGACACAAATTGATGTAAAAATTGTTTCAGGTTTGGCTTAGTTATAGCCTTACATCAGGCTATTCCATTTAATATCCATACCCCCCCCCCCTGTCGAGGATCCCTGGAATTCTTCAGGGGTAAAGTGTTTTGAGCTTGGAATTCTTCAGGGGTAAAGTGTTTCGAGTTTGGAATTCTTCTGGGGTAAAGGGTTTTGAGCTTGGAATTCTTCAGGGGTAAAGGGTTTTGAGCTTGGAATTCTTCAGGGATATAAAAGGGTTTTGAGCTTGGAATTTTGGAATTCTTCAGGGGTAAAAGGTTTTGAGTTTGAAATTCTTCAGGGGTATAACCATGAAAAACATGTATCCTCGACAGGGGGTGTACGGATATTAAATGGAATAGCCCATCCTGCTGTCAAGTGGCAATCACTTACAAAGCAAATCTATAACCAAATGTTTTGCATCCTGAGGAACTTCATTATTCTATAATTTATACAGATGCTACAAAAACACCTGGCACTTAAATTTATATAGATAACTCCATTTACGAAAGCACAAAGACCACAGGCTACAACATGTTGAGTATTGACCATAATGTACTGTATTGTTTAAAGCTTCAAGTTTTTAACACAAGCAAAAGCTGTCACTCCAAAGTCCTGGCAACAATATGTCAATTTAACAAAACGACAACGTGTGCAATGATTTCATTTAGCCAATTCTTTCAAGGTTATAATGAATATACTCGTACTGTAGATCGATAAAAAGTCATTCATAAATACCATGCCATTTTTTAAGTATATACCCAACGTCCCAATACTTTTTCATACGATTAATATCATATCCTTCGATTTATATCGTTTGATTTCGCATTCCAAATCTGATAAACATTGATAATTCTCTCTTCGCGTATGTCCACGCGTAATTCTCGCAAAAAAACACGCATAATTGTGTCGGCAGCATTGATTAACACGGCAGCCAATCAAATAACGATTTCGATTCGATTTCCCCGGAGTCATGCCACTACCTAACCCGCGAACGGGCATACTCTGGGAACGAGATTGCCGTAATCACTGAGCGTGAGGCGAATAATTGTTTTAGTATAAATTTTTAATGAATAAAACAAAATATCCAAATATCAGTTCAATTAAATTTCAGAAATAAAACTGTTTTCGGCCTGTTCACTAATAGTGTTGCAGTGTTTCTTGTACACGTACGCTTTCAAAATGGCTTCTTGTGTGACTTTATTGCTTTATTACAAAGTTGTTTTTCTCGATTTCTGCTTGGAATATTAACACAATAACGGAATGACTCTTTCACCAGACTTAGAATTAAAAATAATTTCTGTTTAGCATTAATTTCTTCAGGAAATGGCTGAGGAATTTGGTAAAATGAAATGTAACTCTATATCGTTACACTTTACAAGTTTCGAAAACACAATACAGCGGTCAGAACACCATACAGCACAATGAAAACATGACATGTCAAAAGAAATAGTGTCGTACAAATTGGGAAATCTATAGTATATACAAAATAAAATGGATTTAAAGAATATCACGGCAAGGTTTTTCCCAATAGTTGGGATGGTTTTTGCTATTTGTTTGAAGTAAATGTTTCGGAGTTTTAAATAAGTTTTAAATTGTCCGTGAATATGTTTGACACAGTAAAATAATAAAGGAATCCTACCTTTCAAGTCAAATACAACATTTTGTGCTTCCTTCGTTTTCTGGGGACGATTTTTTCAGTATTTTGTCGATTTTGAAACAAAATTTGCCGAATCATTCTTTTTGAAAAGCATTATTTACTGCCCAGGTGGTAAATAATGCCTCAGATTTACTAGTCAACTAGCCAATCAGAACGCGCGAAAGCTCATTTGATATGCAAAATTTATACTAATAATTATATATAAGTCCGTCATTATTAAATTCTACCGTCGTCGTGCTGAGGACACTCGACCATATTTTAAATCTACCATTAATACTTTTCCCCGATGGTTTAATACATTTCTTGATTTTCAAATATGCGAGTCCGGCATTGATGTTTTCAGTAAAAACCCGATCAGCATTCGAAAAATATTTACGTTTTAGCTTCTTTATTAGCGATTTTTTTCTAGCAGCAGCAAAGCCTTCCCTTGGGATGCAAGAGTAATTTTCGAAATCTATTTGTTGAATAAAGTGGTGTACGTTGCCTGTTGGTGCATATTTTTGGAAGTCTGATGAAAAGTACTTTAATCTGTGCGCACTGGGGCCTGTATATGTGGCTTGTACAAAACAACCTGATGATGTCATCTACCCAAAATTTGGTTCAGGCTACCCTATACAGTATATAGTCTTCCTAACTAACGTCTGCTGAAACGAGCTGCACATTCCATTCCCTCCGATCGACCAATCACAGCGAACCTTCTATATTTCGGAAAGTGATTTAGGGGCGGAATAAAAAGTACATAAATATTTTTATATTTTGAAAGCAGTCGTCGGTTGAATTTTGGTCAAAATTGCGCATAAATTGAATTTAAAGACATTGATACTTGTCCAGGAAATAAAAGGCATAATTATCAGATTCGGATATTAAAGCCTGATTCTCATATGTCGCCGACGTCGGCGATGCCATTGTTTGAGATAAGTGAAGAAGAACATAGACAAAAGATTAATGATCAACGACAATGGGCATCGCCGACATCGGCGACATATGAGAATCAGGCTTAAAGATGTACGCGGACAGGATGGCATACTGTATGAATCTAGAGGCGACATGAGCATCAAATGCCGAATATATTTCGCTGAACATACACAACAAAACTCTACGTCTTTACATAAGACAACAAAACTCAGAAGACAGAAAATTTGATATAATACTGTGGCTTAGAAAGCGAAATATTAGTGAACTAATTTGCTGGATGAGCACTTCTGACTTCTGAATGTAAACACATCACAAATATAAAACCCGAGAAACTTTTAAATGCGCCGAGATGAATTTCCAATTCGCCCAAACTTCGAAACGTTTATACATCTAACTTCGTTATGCTTTTCTACATGACAACGAGAGCTTAATCTTTTAGAATTTTTCGTCGAAGCCATGCCCATGGTATATAGGAAGTATTTAATAGCAACATTTGGACATATCCTGATATACTCGTTCTCGAGTTTCCTGATTGCTTCAGTTGTCATTGTTAACAAAATTTAAAATTTCGCTTATTGTATAGCTCTTGCATTTTATATAAACCGGTTGTTTCCAGAACATGCGAGAAGATGATCACAATATTATTCTACGTAAACATCATGAAGTTCAAGGCTATAGTTTCCAAAATATCTCCACGCAAGTAAACAAATTTCAACCCAAACAGTTATGTTGCCTCATCAAGGGCTTTCCCCAGTAGCTAATCTCTTAACAAGAAGGTTTCCAATTAGCTCTAACTCTTTTGAACATTGCCAGATGATTGGCTCCTAAAACAAAGGTAATGGAATGTGCAGCTCGTTTCAGCAGTCGTTAGTTAGCGAGAGTCACGTGACTTAAATTCTGTTAAACTAGTAGTTGTGGAACTACAAATTGACAATGAACATACGGAGTGATGTTTTAAGCAAAAATTCGTAATTTTTGTTTTAAAAACTTCAAAAAAATTCTTACACGTTTAGGCAGGGCGCTTGGTTGAGGGGGAACGCTTTATAGAGGGCCATTTGATGGAGGTTATATTTCATTTTACAAGCCCTGAAAGTGCATTTCCAGCCATTTCTCAGAGTAATTTTGAATATTGAATATTTAAAGATAAATTAAATTAAATCAACTTAATATCCAATAATGGAATGTTCTTTATATCAAATTTCTTCTAGACTAAAATACATATTTAACGTTTTGTCACGGCGTGTCAATCCAGATCACTCGCAGCTACGCATAGGAATTTGATACAAGTTTTCCAACCTGGGAAGTAAACAATTAAGCATGTTGTGCAATGAGACTTTAGCTGTTGTTTTTTGTTTTTGTTTCTGCTTTTATCCTGCTAAGAATGGACAACCAATAGACGTCCAATAAAGGTCTTTCAATTTTATGTGAATTAAGCTAACTAAAGTCAAGTGTCTAACTAAAATTTTTGGGTGATGCATTATCTGTCTAAAAAGGCCAATTTACACTACACAACTTTTGCCCAAAGCCTGGTTTCCATATGGTCGTAAGAGAATATGTATGATTTAAATGTGGTTTATAGGTAAAAAAAACTATTACAATCTGGCCGATGAGAAAAATCGTAACTTTATCTTTTATGACTGTTACAACCATATATGGAAACCTGGCTTAAAACTGTTGCATGCAACGTGCTTACAACTTGAGTTGTACTGTGTACTTGGAGATGTGTTTGGCTGCATGACAAACGCAATGACTCGGGCTGGCTCGTTTAGGCAGGCTATAAGTATTTTGCTCTGTTCACAAGAATATATTGTTGTAAATAAGATATTCTCGTCAAATTTCGATCGTGTTTCATTTTACATAGTACTAAATCTTGTTTTAACTTTATTTTGTCAAGATGTGGAAGATTATACCCGTGCATATTCGCAAGCTCTCCAAGAAGGTAAAGCAAAAAATAATCGAATACCGATTATGCTGGTCGGGCAAGACCGAGGCGGAAAGACGTCGCTGATGAGACGTCTTTTGGGATTACCATTCAACAAAGATCAACCCAGTACCAATGGTATTAACGTTAATGTTATCGAGCTATCAGAACAAAATGCACAAGATCCTTGGAAAAAAAGAGAAGTGATGAAGTTTATGACCAGTGAAAGTGAGGCAAAGAATGTGTTGTACAAAAAAACTGCCGAGTACCTTGATAGAGAAGTTCAGAGGAAGTTAGAAGACATTGATACTGACCTTGACATTGACATTGACATTGATGGTGGAGTTCAGGGGTATTTTGAAGAGGATGTGCCAGAACCTGAGAAGCCAGTGAAGAGAAGAAAATTAGAAAGTGAAGAAATCTCCGAAATCATATCGCAGAGGTTCAAGAAACACAACCAGAAAGAAGTTCTTCGGGTATTTGTAAGTGACTTTGCTGGACAGTCAATCTATTACGATACCCATGGCTGCTTTGTGAAACCGCATTGCCCGTATGTTTTGGTTCACGACCTTTCTCTGGAGTTTGATGAAACCGCCGTTCCCAGGTTTAAAGACCGAGCTGAAAAGAAAGAGATAGAAATGAACAATCCTCATCGTAATACCAATTTAGATAATTTTACATCATGGTTGAAGTTTCTGCAAGGTTTGGGAGAATGGCAAAATCAACAGTTTCCTGATAAATCTGGTCACTGTACCACTGCAAAAGGTGAGAAATTTAAACGGCCACCAGTTTTAATAGCCTTAACTCACAGTGATAAGGTAAAAAGCAACGACAGCAAAATAGATAGCGTACTAAAGAGAATAAAAAATGTCGTGTTTGAAGGAAAATATGAGAATGTCATCCCTGGGGTTTTCCAGATCGACAATACATTGGAAGGCGACGACGGAGACGACGTGCGAAAGCTTCGTAGAAAGCTTTTTGACCTCTCGAATGCAGTCCTTAACCAGGAGACTTTTATGCCTGTGAAGTGGCTAGATTTTGAAGCCTCTCTAAGCCGGAAGCTATCACCAGATTGCAAGTATATCCCAGTTGACGAAGCTAAGCAGGAAGCGGAGGCCTGTGGTGTTGGGGAATTTTATCATGCTATTAAATTTCTACACCGCCAAGGTGTGGTCGTACACCACAGTGGATCAAGCAAAGTTGTATTGAATCCTCCCTGGCTAATGAATCTATTTACGAATGTGATCTCCATGCCTGGCAAATTAGATGCCTTGTCCATGCACCCTCTTGGTATGTTCAAGGAGAAAGGCATTTTGTTTCAAGAATATCTTCAGACGCTGGAACACGCAGAACTTTTAGAAGAGCTGATGCAAAAGTTTAATTTGATTTGTGCTTGCCAGCACGACGGAAAGCCAGCTTTTTATGTCCCTTCAGTTGCCCCAACTATTATGATACCAGGAAAAGAGTTGGAAGCTAGCGAAAAGGAGTTGAATGTTCCATCGCTGTTTGTGACATTTCCTCGCCAACTTGTGCCGATAAGCTTGTTTACGAAGCTTCAAGTGAAGTTAATTTCTGAGTGGGAAAGGCGCTTCCACAAACAACAAGCCACGCCTTCCTTCTACTGCAACTACTCCTTGCTTCCGCTTATTATAGACGGCGACGTGTATGATGTTTGTTTAATCGACCTCCACGACTTCATTAAGGTTGCCGTTTTTCCAAAACAGGATGGCAACCATTTCAAGTTTGCCAGTCATCTCTTATCCACCTTGAAAAAGTGCTTGGACGACCTTAAATCTCCAGACCAACTATTATTCAGCATGACCAGCTATGACCTCGAAGTGGAATGTACCTGTTGCTTTGGTAAAGAAGAAAGAAAATGTTCTCGTCATCATGAGATCCAGTGTCATTCAGATCGTTGTGGGCACCACCACTTCTGGAAGCTTAGTGACCTTCAGAGACTCTACAACGATAAATCCCCCGCAGTTTGCCGGTCCGACAAACTCTCGTCCAAGGTGTTTGACATAAAGAGTGTAAAAATTTGGCTCAATACTGGTAAGTGGCTAACACTAAAGGCGTTTTTACTTTGCCAATTTTGAAATGTTTAGTTGACAGGTATTTTTTTGTAGAAATGTATTTTTTAAGTACTGTTTTAAACTTGAGCAGCAGTGTTTTATCCATAGATATCTTATATACATTAGATAGCGCATCTCTTTTAGTAAAATTGAAGCCAAGAATATTCCAGCGGTTACCCCCATTTGAATAGATGGCGTCCGTGTTGGAGTTTCCCACTCGCTAATAAACGCTTAAAACACAACAATAACTTTCATCATTTGAATAGTTTGAAAATGTATTTGGAATGGGTTTAACTTAATGTTTAAGTTCCCTGTTTAAGAAATAGAAAACATACGAGTCTTCTCATTCCATGGGAATATCCTGAGTCTGCAATCACGGCTTCAATTTTTGAATTGCAGAATAATTAGATGCACTATCTAGTGTATATAAGATATCTATGGTTTTATCAGATATTAAGATACGAGACGAAGCCGAGTATCTTTAGCTCTGATAAAACACGCACTGCAAATGTTTTAAATTGCTTCAAAAACGATCGAACTTACTGGTTCATTGGCGAAGTAATTTTGAAAAAGGAGTTATTTGCTTCAGCGAATAATCAATTTATTGCTTCCTTGGGAATTTTGTTGGGATATTTATTTTGCAACACATCAGTGCATTTCCATGTCACGCTTCACGTGCATCTTGGGCCTACTAAATAAAACGTTGAGGGTTAACAGCTCAAGGTCATTCACCTTTGGCTTCACAAGGCAAGTTTTCAAGTCCTCCTCACAAGTTTTCCTTTCCCTCCCGTCCTCCCTTGCCTCATTTTGCGTCCTACGATACACGTTACTGGCGGTTTTGTATATGGGGCGTTTTTTAACACCCCCACCTTTTCTGTGCTATGCATGAATACTAAATTTGTAACATTTATTTGTAATTTGATATTTTTGTGTTAATCATTAAATCGGCATTGTGCTCCTGCACATTGCCATTATTTTATCCAGAACGGTGTACTGTTATTGATCTTTTGCATGCAGTCCTTCGCACAGAAAACGGAGCTCATCAGGCTGATAAATTGCCGCTAAAGTTTAGGTTATGCATTGCTTGCTACCGCGGAAGCGATAAAATACGTTGTGTAAATCGAGGAAATCAAAGTTAAAGATAGGGTACAGTCCGTTCTGCGCATGCGCACATATGAGTTTCCTGCCGTGATATAAACAATTTAATTAAGCTTTCATTTCATTTTATGTTCTTGCAAAGCCTGATTGTTGTATCTTGATCATTTATTATACTGTAGAAGCATGGAAATATAAATAGTTGTCGAATAAAGTTTAATATTTTGAATACCGAAATGTAAACAAAGGCTTTGATTAGTTACGGACTGTACCCTATCTTTAAAGTTTATGTAAATCAAGGGAAATCTTTATCACATATGAATATACGACATGCTGATGATTTTTCTTTGTGTTTCCTCATGAATTATTAATGAGTTTTTCGGAATCATATTTAACAATTAGATAAGTACTGTTGTCTAATTATTAAATATGAGTTGTATAATTTTTTTAATGTTATGGCGATATCTCCTTTTTTAATCAGGCTCAGTTGCTGCAATCTGATTAAAGACATCACGGAATACCAGTGAGGTATTTTGTGTTGTCTTTACCAGTGAAGATGTCGACACAGACAGCACTGGCTAGAATGAGTGCTGTTTAGTTTTCTGTTTGTTTTGTTAACTCATACATCATTTTATATTCTTGTGGTGAAAGCAATATTTTACTCGTTCGCTACGCTTATTCATAAAGTATTATTTGCACTACTCGAAATAGAATCCATATCTTAACTCGCGTAGCCTTATATCCCCTATGTTTAATTGTTTCATCCTGTTTTTTCAAATGCCTGATGCAGCTATGGTAGAAGACAGCCCGAACTTTAGATGTCCAAATGAAACCTCAAGTGAAGCTTCAAGCTCAGGTAATTGTTTGGTTACGGTTAGACTTTGACTATACATTAGTTTGCAATTTACGTTTACGATTTAGAAGACCATATATTTCTGTGCACACTTTGTAAGTATACCGCGTGTGTTTTCATCAGAATTTTTTGCAGCATTGAATATAATTCATAAAGCTAGTAATACCTAAGCTTTAGTTTTGAACGTGGAAAAGAAATGTACTTTTGTGCGGGACTAAGAGACATTCTTTGGTATAAAATAGAAAACAGCGCAGTTATTGACCCTCCTGAACGGATAACGGATATCGTCTCAAAATATATAAACTTTGAAAGCTTATTTCAAAATCGTGGCACCTGATTGGCACATGACTTTAACTTTTCTATAAACTACTAACATTAGTCAACACAAATCGCCAATAGTATCTTTCTGATTTACCATTTGACAAAAATGACAAGCGCGCAAACTTTGTAAAATTTGAAAATGTGTCGAAATCGAGCATACTTTATCGGCAAACCTAATTGTTGATATTAACAAATAAAACCACCTTACACTACACTGAATAAAGCTTGATGATGTAAATATATGTCTTTCATCATTATTCTTTGGTTTGGTACTTGAATCAAATTGTTTGAGTACAGTTTGGCTTTACGCATAGAGTCATTCAATGCCAGTGTGTCCAGTGTCTTCTGCGCGCTTCAATGCCACGAGTCCTGATTGTGACATACTATACAAACTTCGCTCTATTCGCTCTGTTTACCTCTTTAACAAATACCTTTACCTGTTTAACAAATAACAATGTTCAATGAAATTGGAAAACTCAGAATTAGTCATATACTACAGACAGAATTTTCATCGTTTTTAAACTGTTTTATAAAAGTTTCGTTAGAATGTACGAATTTAAATCTCGGGGAAAACCCCGGGCCCTGGCGGGTGTAGGTAAAACAAGGCCCTAGTCCATGGCCCAGGCCATGGCCCAGTGTATGGCCCTACCTTTGGCCCACCTGTTTTTTTTGTTTAATTTTAATTATTTCCTCGTAGGCCGTTGGATGAAGGTCGAAAATGTTCAATTCCGTAGCACCCCTCGTGTAACTACATAATTTTTACATGAATCTATAGATAATAACTTACTTAGTTAGAATCCACTTCCCCCCAAGCGAAATAGTTGCACAAATTGAAGTATAAGCCCTTCAAAGTTCACGCTTCCTCGTGTTTCGGAATCCATGAACCGCCATTGTTGTGTTGCAAATACGCATGCGCTTGAGCACAAAACACGTAATGCTCACGCGCAGATAAGAAAAACTGATCTCAATCTAGGACTGGACAAGAAAAAATTATGAAATGTGCGAAAACAGGGCTGAAGTAAAACAAGATGACATCGGAATGTTTTAAAAGTATATGATATTTTTATGTTTTGTGCATTTTACCAAACATTCTGAGCAATGTGTGTGTTTACCAAACATTCTGAGCAATGTACCGTATCGAGCCCTCGCCAGGAACACTTTCAAGCCAACATTACAATAATAACTTATTTAAAATATTAATTAAAATATGATGTTATTTTATTCTACAGCAATTAAATAACGTTTGCAAGCAAATTTGTTTTTTAGGCTTTAAATATTATCACAATCCTAAACATTCAGGACCGTACACAGCAGGGGGAGGCAATATCATTATTAATTATTCATTGGATATTTGTGACGTTTTTCGGCATATAGGCCTTACTGCCCCCAGCTGATGAAAACATTCTGCGTACGGTCCTGTAAACGTTCTAGAACTCATACCGTAATTTATCATTTTTTTTTTGGGGGGGGGGAAGGAGGGAGGTATTTCTAATATACACAAGGAATCTGTTTGCACGTTTTATTCTCTTTAAATATGCAACATCGAGTACTGTGATTTTCCGTAAAATATCATAATTATCTTTCAAGTTTCAAATACAATTTCACTCCACGATTTTATACATTAATTGCTTACAGGAGAGGGCTGGGGGTGAGGAAGAAGTGGTGCTAAACAAAGAAATGACTATATACCATAAACTAAGTATTACTCGGTATTCAATCTTATTTATTCTCTAAATCTTTTCCCGTCAATTAATTTTATTAGTCCGGGTAATGGTTGTTTATTGGCTT